TTTACATTCCAGACCCTCACAATCAGTCCTGATAACAATTATTCACTATTGTATCACAAGAGACCTATCCGCATTTCCTTTCATCAGCCCCACCCCGACAGATTGGATACTACCCAGTGAAGATTCTACCTTCCTCCACACCCTCTGGATCTAGGGTCCCTCTTGAAAGCTTGTAAGCCAGTCACTTCTTGCCTTTGTAGCCCCCCATTTTGGGGAGTCAATGTCCAAGTTGCCCATCCCTATCTACTTGTGTATGGAGGGGGTGGGAATGATCCTCACTGTAAAGATTTGTTCTCTCTTTTGAGCTACTGCATCCATAGGTGTAGGTCAAGTTCATCAAATTGTATCAGATTATTCTTTTTTTCCTCTTCTTTCTTCTTCTGGTTGAGCTCTGAGCTGCCTCACTTTCTTGAAAGATTGCAATTTGTATTCTATCAGTTCCCAGGCCTTGTTCTTTGCCAATTCCTTCAATGTACCTAGGACTTCCTCCTTCAGTATCATTGGCTCTTGATCATATGCTACCTCTTGAAATGATTGCACATCAACCATTTCCTTTTGGTACAGTGACTCTGTGTATTCCTGCCATCTTCTCTTGATGCCTTCTGTGCGTCATTCAGTAGTTTTCCCATATAATCCTTCAGTAACAGAAGCCGAGGCTTGAACTGTTTTCAATTCCCTCAGCTTGAGAAATGCTGAGCCTGTTCTTCCCTTTTGGTTTTCTAACTCCAGATCTTTGCACATTTCGTTAGTCAATACTTGACTCTGTTTTCTGGAGCTGCCCTTTGACATTTTCTGTTCAGCTCTTGTACCTTCTGCTTTCTTCCATTTGCTTCAACATCTCTATGCTGGAGAGCAGGTTTCAGAATCTCTTCTAGCGTTCTTTTGGTCTTTTCCTTCTTTTTTGTCTTAATGACTTTGCTTTCTTCCTGTATGATATTCTTGATGTCATCCCACAACTCTCTGATCTTCAGTCTTTTGTGTCTAATGTATCAGATCTGTCCTTCAGATTGGGCTCCAAGAACCGTGGGGCACGCTTTCTTGGGACCGTTCAGCTGAGTTCCTGTGTAGGCATACCTGTTTTATTGTGCCTGGCAGATGCTGCAAGGTTGTTGTTTTTTAACAAACAAGGTTTCTGGTGACCCTGTGCTGGGCAAGGCTGTTGGGGCCATTTCTCACATTGTGATGGTCACCTTTTGGTTGTTCCCAACACTGTTGTATAGTTAAGGAGCCTTGGTAGCATAGTCCTGCCACGGGTTAGCAGTTTGAGTCCACCAGCCGCTTCATGGCAGAAAGATGACGTTTTCTGCTCCTATAAAGATTTACAGCCTTGGAAACCCTAGACAGGGTCACACGCAGAGTTGGAACCAACTTGATGGCGCATACACATTGTATACTTAGAATACACTACACAATAGTGTCAACATAACTTTTATACGTTTTTGTTGTTGTTAAGCGCCGAGTGGAGTCTGACTCATAGCAACCTTGTATAGTGTTTCTGAGGAGGGTCTGGTGAGTTTGAACCACCAGCCTTGCAGTTCAAATCGACCTTGCAGTTGAGTACTTAGCCTACAGCGCCACGCCAGGCCTCCTTTATATGCTCTCGAGAGCCCAAAAAATCCATGTGACTGGCTTTATTGCGGAGGCTGGAGCCGAGCCTTCAGTGTCTCTGTGAGGTGTGTCTATATTTCAGCTTTCTGGGTACACAATTCTGACTTGCTAAATCTCTAGGGATAATTCTAATGAAACTTGGAGGCCCTAGGTGTCTGTAAACTGGTACTGTGTGTGTAGTATATTTGCTCAAATATAGTCCTTGGGTTTTTCTTACCATTTTCTTGGTTCCAAAGGTTTGCAGTGTGTGTGGGGCGGGTGTTGTGAAATGAGGCTCATGTATTGAGCCAGCCATCTGTTTGCAGCCACACACCATCCTGACCTCTAGTCAGGAGCCAGGTAGTCACCTGGCCTTTTCCTGTGTCTTCCACCATTACATGGGGAACTGACTTAGAGTGACCTCGTGAAGCTTCCTTAGGGGAAAGTGTTACACCCCTTCCCCAGATCATGCGTTTTCAGCCAAGCTGAAGTGTCCGGTCTATCTGAGCTAAGTTTGTTCTGGTGATTGGAGCTGACAAGTTCCCGGTAGAATTCCAGGTACCTTCTGTGATCACTGGGATTTGTGTAGGGATAGATGTGTTCCTCAGATTGTGCTCCCCAAACCAGCAGCATTAGCGTGGTGTGGGGGCTCTTCTCACTGGCCGACCCTTGTGACTGTGTTGTGCTGGGCCTTGAGGGTTCATGTTGGACTCCAGATGCTTCCCCCCTTCACTGTGTGTTCTTATCAACATGCTGGCCTCAGGGGCCTGGTGGAGATGTGAGCGTGTGACTGAGGCCAGAGTCAGGATGCTGTGTGGTGGCCTGCCTGGCACTTCTCTTTTGTTTTTGACAAGAAGCAGTTAAGCAGTTTTGTGTGGAGCAGTATTTTTTAAGAGCCCGCAGTGAACCTTGTAGTTAGTTACTTACAATGTTGAAGGGGATGAGGCCGTTTGAGCCCTATACTAGGACCCGTTAGAGATGGCTTATAGCATTCCACAAAGGTCCATACCTGGGCTGCTTTAAATGAAGGCAGGGGAAATTCGTGTTTCTTTGTTTTTTGCAGCTGTGGAGCTGAAGCTGGTGGACGTGCTAGTTTCTAGGTTGGTGACTGTCCACTGTGTTCATCCACGTGCAGTGGGGCTTTTAGAAGATGGACAGTCTGACTTAAAGAGCACCTAGGCATTGGGGGATCACCCCGGCACACTGGAGACATCCAACAGCAGAGGAGTTCGTGTGGTCCATACGTTACTACTCAGATGTAGCTCATGTTGATGGGAGTGTTGTGGTGTGGGCCCCGCCAGCACCTAGTAGGCACCTTAATGAACCAAAGGGTGGGTCTGGAGAAGGATGCCGTTGGGGTGATGGGGGTGCTCTGTAGCAGAGGTCCTCTGGAAAAGGGTTCTTTGTGTGAACCTGCTGGAGCAGCAGGTGAAATGGGGCACAGGTGGAGGCCCCAGTTTTACCTGGTATTGGGAGGGCTGTGGCTGTCTCGAAAGAGATGAGAACCAAGAAGGCAGCGCCTAGTATCCACCCGGCCTGTGGGGTGCGATGTTGGTTTTCCTTCTGAGACTTTTCCATGTAGAATGACAATGACTTATATACAGTGAAGCCAGTGACAGAAGGTTAGGTCCCAGCCAACAGGTGGCCTGTGGTTGAAATGATGGCCTTTTGTGCTCGTGGCAGATGTCCTCTGGGAAATTGGGTGGTGGCTCATCCTGAACTTCAGGCGCCCATGGCAGCATTGAGGTGCACGATGGAGTCACCAAGGGAGAGCGAGGGGCTCTCTGAGGGAGTTCATTGTGCATTCATTCATTCGCTGTGGTAACCATCTTCTTTCTTTTTACAGGAACGGCAGAATCGAAGCAAACAGTAAGATGAAGCCACTTTCTTATCTGTTCTAACGTTTGACTTTGAAAAACCAAGTTTTAAAACGTTGGCCTGGTGCTGTGTGTCTTCAGGCGCAGGAATTTGAGTTATTGCAGCTCTAGGTTCTCTGTAGTTCCCTTTGCCCAGGTGGGCCTGCTCTCATTGGCAGTTTTCTATGTATAATGTTGTAGAGGTCACTAATAAAAGTGGGGGTTTTTTGTTTTGTTTTGTTTTTTGTCAGCTTATCAATCAGACTGGCCTAGTGCAAAATACAATTCTCCTTAAAAACAGAACAAAAACCTAATACATCCCAAAGGTTTTTATAAAAAAATTATTTTGGCAGAAATGATGGTCTTCTGCTCAGAGTCGTTTTAGTAACTGTGAGACGTCTTCTTTCTCACCCTTTCCTGCTTAATAGCAAACTGAAGATACAATGAATTGCTATGTTGTTTTGAGCGTTCTGTTAAATTACTTTTCTTAAATGCTGAAGTCGGAAGGTTGATGAGCACCCGGGTTGGCTGGGTGGCTTTTTTTTTTTTTTTTTTTTTTTTTAATTATTGTCTGTTGGTATCTGTCTTGAAAACTAGTCTGCCCATTTGATTTTCTACTAGACAAAAAAGGCAAGTTGAATTTAAATTCTCAAAGTTGGGAGAAACGTGATGTTTCTTGCCTGCAGGCTGCTCTGCCCCCTGTGGCTTGTCCGTGCTGCAGACTGACTTGACGCGACGTGCAAGCGAGTTTCTGGAAGGTGCTCCCCATCTGGTTCAGCGTTGAGATGGTCCTAGTTTCTGCAGGTCCTTTTAAATTTTCCCTTTTCTTCACTTGAGAGCCTAATGCCACTCAAGTGTCCCCCCATGCTGCTGCGCTGTCTGAGGAGCTGGGTGCTCCGGCGCTGGTAGTGACACCCCGTGCCACGTTCACTGCACGGGTCTCATTCTCTCTTCCTGTTGAATGGGTACAAAGCAAAAAACGAACCAACCAACCCTTTCAGAACTGATATGCCGTTAAGTTTTGAACCCGCCACCGTAAGCCGGAGTCTGCGCATAGAAGCGGTGCTCCTGCCTGTGGCCTAGCACCCCGAGGCGTCTGTGCGTCCACTCCCTGGCGCTGATGTGACTCGCACGCTGTATCACTTACACTTGTATTAGAGCTCTGCCTTCTCCGAGCTTCGACTGCCGCGGGAGGAATGGGCAGCGTGTTCACTGTCCTCTTAGGAGAGTACAAGCCTTAATAAACCGTTCCTATTCAGCACGTCAGGTGTGGCCTCCTTCTTTCCCCATCCTCTAACTGCAGACCCCGTGTCCTAGTCTGCTGTACTAGCGGTCCTTTCAGGAGCTGAGCTGCTTCATAGCCCTGTGACATCTCAGTATACCCATAGCGAGGCCGGGCACCCCACCTATCGCCCACATCCCCTGGGTAACGTGGGTCACTGAGAGCTGCCTTAATCCCATCTTGATGGTTTCCCTTTTGAGGTAGACCTTACAGAGGCTGACACCCACACGCCTTAGTAAAGACATAGGTCCCCCCCCACCTGCACTGTATAGTACCTTGGAGAGAAATGAGAAAGTACACGCTGGCATCTGAGAGGGGTTCTCCCACCCAGACTGGGGAGCTGGAGCTGGATTCTGTTGAGAAAGAGTTGTGGTAATAGCAGTGGAGGGGTGTGCTGACAGGCAGTGCGTACCCCAAGAAGGGGGCCCCCTTTGGAGATGGCATCTAAACAAGTGGGGGGTGGTTCATGAACTGGAGGAGGTGGCAGGGCTGTGGGGTGAGTCTGGGGACTCCGGCTTGATGACCTTAGTTGCTGACATCAAGAATAAATGGAACCAAACCTGCCAAAGGAGCCCCTGGTGACACAAACAGGTAAGCACCTGGTACTAACTGAGAGGTTGGAGTTTGAGTCCAGCCAAAGGAACCTCAAGAAAGGTCTGGCAGTCTGCGTCACTGAAAACTCTAGGGAGCCCAGTCTGTGCTGATAGGGCTGCCATGAGGCAGAGTTAACAGGTGACCACTCACTTCCGCCTTCCAGACTTAGCAAGCCCCAATCTAAGGAGTCCCAGAATTAGGGGAAATTAATTTATTTTAATTGGACCAGGGTTTGCCTCCTGAAGGTATGTAGGTGGTTAGTATTTCCCACACCCACTCCTACTCCCACAAAGCTTACATTTCATGATATGCTCCCAAACATCAGCTGGAGTGCCCTCTGTAGTCCCTCTAGCCCTGAATATTCATCCCCAAGTTTGCTTCTAACTGAGTTGCTCTCTGACTTGAGCCTGGTGTCAGACTTGGGCTGGTGGGGAAGCAGAGCTGTACTGGAAGCTCAAGGCTGTCCCGTGCAGTAGGTGACTGAGCTGGGGGGCAGCCCTTCAGCCCCCTACATCCTTGTGTGGAAACTGACAGCTGGGCATCAGGCTTGGTGCGCGAGCCCATCCCACAGTGGATGCCTGGAGCCACTAGAAGCCTGGTCCCTTTTCCTGGAATTTTGCCAGAATGTTCCCGCCTGCTGCTGCTCACGGCCTCAGCCTGGAGCTAGCCAGTGGTGCCTTTGTGAGGCAGCTGTGCTCACATTTTCTCGTCCCTGTGGAGCGCAGTGGGAAGTCACCGGGAGCTCCAGGCGCGCTCTCTGGAGTTTCCCAAGAAGAGTCCAGAGGAGGCTGTCGGGATATACCAGTGACTGCTGTGGGGGAATCTGTGGCCCCCAGAACACGTTACAGACCCCAGCTCCGCCTTCACTTAGGGTCCTGGTGGCGAAGTGGGTTAGGTGTTGTTGGACTGCTAACCTCAAAGTCTGCAGTTCAAACCCACCAGCTGCTCTTTGGGAGAAAGATGACTTGTGTCTGCTCCCATAAAGATTGACGGTCTGGGAACCCCTGCATGGAGTCACTGAGTCAGAATAACAAGAGCAGTGAGTTTGTGATTACAGCCCCGTTTGGAACCATCCTTTTCCCTTGTGTGTGAATCTGCTCTGCCAGGTCACCGTCTGTTGCCAAAGCTGCTCCTAAGTTGGTGGTGTGGCGTCTGGCTGACCGTTGACCACTTTGTCTCCCTCTGACTGTCCCTGCTCAGCGGCTCCTCCCGCATGTGCTCAGTCCCATTCTCTAACCTTTCCGCTGAAGTTCAGGGTCCCAGGATTTCCATCTGTGTCTGTTTCATGTGCTCTCCGGTCTCTGTCATAGAGGGTCTGCCTTAGTCTTGCTGGAAGTCCTTTGGCCCCATTTAGGAATAGGTTGTCTTTACATTAGCAAATGGAACGCACTTGGTGTAGGGTATGGTGTTGAGTTAGTCTCTTGAGGAAAACACTGAGGGGGCAAGAGAAATGTCACATGACACCAGGGAACAAGTAAACAAGGACCTTCTTACAGAGCCCACGGAGAGAGCTGTCCCCTAGTGTCGGTGACTTGAATTGGGGCTTAACAGATCCCCAGTGAGATGGATTGGCAAAGTGGCAGCTTAAGTGGGCTCAAGCGTGGCACCATTTGTGAGGTTAGCCCAGGCCTGGGCAGTGTTTCGTTCTATTATACATAGGGTCGCTATGAGTTGTGCTGTAGCAGCACTAGAGGAGTTAGGGAATCCAGGTTCCACAGAACCAGCCTGCCGTCACAGACCAGATGGGGCTTCTGCTGTGTCCTCACTGGCCAGCATGGGGCGGAGCGTCATCTGCCTTCAGGGCCCCCAAGGCCAGTTGAGGCCACTCTGACTCACGGTAGGATGTTCCCAGTCAACCCAATCGCACTGCTCAGCATGTTGGAGAGCAATATTGCCAATGTAGAGACACCAGTAACATGTGGTGCCCATGTCGAGTTCCTGGCATCCAGCTTGGGCCCCTTGTTCTTGCCTCCCAGCTCGGAGACACAGCCAGACTCGGACAAGAGTACCGCAAGGTCTGTGGGTTATGCGGTGTAAGAGGAGGCTGGGGCTCACCTCCATTTCTGAGCAGAAGGAGCTCTGGGCTATACTCTGCTCTGTGGGTCTATGTGGGGCCAGCACGGGTGAAGCGTGGTGGACACCCCCTCCGCACACACTGTGAGACCTGGCCTAAAGGGAAGCTGCCTCCCCTGAGGGCACCAGGGAAGAGGGCTTCTTCCCTGCTCAATCTACCCTGGAGGGTTGGGGGGTGGGGAGCAGATAGCTGATGTCCTGGGGGAGGTGCCTGCTCAGGCCAGGTCCTGAGCTCAGATTTCCTGGGTTCTGCCCCAGACCTCTTTTAAAGTGTTCAAGAGCAAAGATGTCAGTTTGAGAACTAAAGTGCACCTGACCCAAGCCATGGTATTTTCTCTTTTTTAAAGTTTTTATTGTGAATTGAATAAAAGTTTACAGGGCAGATCATCAGTTTTACATTCAACAAATCATATACTTTGTTCATTACAATGATTGTAATCCCCACTATGTACCATCAGTTAGCAGTATTTTTATTCATTTAGCTCTTTTTTTTTTTTTTTTTTTCTAAAACACTCAGGCATACGTAATAAGTTACACCACCAAAGGGCACATTATGCAAGTCTGCCTCCTGGCCGCCAGCTCTCAGTCCCTCTCTTTCCATGACTCTGGAGTCCTTAGCTGCTTCCTCTCTCAGCCATGGTATTTTCAATAGCCTCATATGCATGTGAAAGTTGGACAGCGCATTTGAGTGACGGTGTTGGAGGAGAATATTAAAGGTACCATGGGCTGCCTGCAAGAACAAACCTGGGTTGGAAGAAATACAACCAGAATGTTTCTTCAAAGTCAAGATGGCCAGACTTGGTCTCTCATACTTCAGATATATTATCAGAAGGGATCAGTCCCTGGAGAAGGACATCACGCTTGGTAAAGTGAAGGGTCAACAAAAAAGACGAAGACCCTCAATGAGGGGTTGGTACAGCGCCAGCAACAATCGGCTCAAGTGTAGCAGCGATTGTGAGGTTGGCGCTGAACCGGGCAGTGCTTGGTTCTGTTGTACGTGGGTTCTCTATGAATCAGAGCCAACTTGACAGCATGAGATGTGACCGTCCCGGGGACCCAGTGACAAGC